TTGCATCTACTGTGGAGCGTTTTTCTCGAAAGCCATATTGTTGGTCGGACAATCCAACTCCGTTGTGAAGACTAGATCTAATTCTTCTCACTATAATTCGCTCCAGCATCTTGCCGAGTTCGGCCAAGAGGCATATCGGGCGGTAGGAGGACGGAATCCGATCCTGCTTCCCAGGTTTCTTCAAGAGAACCAATTTGGCCGTCTTCCAACACGTGGGGAATATCCCCTCCCGTAGGCAGGCCGTAAAGCAGTTCTTTAATGGGCCAGCTAACACCGGCAGGCCCTCGCGGACCACCCCACCGATAATCCCGTCCGGACCAGGGGCTTTGCCGCTGAACTTGATCTTCCCTGCAGCCCAGATGATCTCATCCTCCGTGATCGCCATGTCGTCGTCCCATTGGACCGGTTCTCTGATCCTGGGTACAAGTTCTTCCTCGACGTGCGGAAAAAGCCCTCCTATAACCGTCGCCAACTCTTCAGGAGTGAGCGTCTCACAGACAGGCTTCTCCGGCGAACGGAGTCTGCCTGTTACGACCTTGTAGGGGCGACCCCAGGGGTCCCCGTCAATCGTGGAGATGAGGTCTCCCCAAGCAGCCTTCTTCGCCTCCTTAATGGCTATTCTTAGTTTCTTACGCGCGCGGGCCAAGTCCAATTCGAGGTCGGGTACAGCTGCACGCCGTCTTCTGCGAGCCCTCGTGGCCCTACGTCTGCATACGTTACAGTCTCTCCTTAAGTCCGCAATGTTGTTATTCCACCAGTATACCGGTCTTTTCCTGGCGGTTCTATGCCGAGACATGGCCAGATCTGAGGCCCACGTAAGTGCCCTCTGAAGATGTTCCGCTTGTGCCGTCGCGCTGGAGTTTTCCGGAATCGCTGGCCAGAAGCTCACCTCCAAACTAGCTCTAAGTATATCCGGTTTTAGCGTTCCAATATTCCATTTGGGAAATCCCTGCGAGGAGCGATCACGGGGTATCTCCCGTCCACCGCCCAGCGTGAGAAAGATGTACCGGTGGTCGGAGAGTGATTCCTCCTCAGTAGCGGTTATCCAAGATCCGATCAAAGGGAGAGTCGCAGGGGACGCCCACGTAAGATCCACGATCGATGTTCCCTGTGGCCTGACGCAGGTAGGAGCCCTGCCCTCGTTAATTAGCCTCAGGTCAAGTGTAGCTGCCCAAGTTGCAATTGTGTCTCCGCGCGTTGTGGGATGTGTATCCTCCCAGAGATGAGACCGGGCATTAAAGTCACCCATCACAATCACTGGGCCCCTTAGATGATCCAAAACAGCCTCCGTCAGGAATTGCAGGTACGTCCTAAATTCGTTGATCCCTCTATTGGGGGAGAAATAGCATGAAGCTATGACCACTCTACCCCATCTAACCACTACGAACCCCTGCCCACGTTTCAGGACAGTGACCACGCTTGGTGTTGGGGTTCCCTGCCAGGTTATAGCCGCCAGCGGGGGATCTTCGGCCGATCGGGCCCAGCGAGAGTCCGCAGGCACTGAATAAGGCTCCTGAACACATGCCACATTGCAGTTCTTTTCGCGCATCACCTGCATAAATAGGTCCTGCGCGGCCGCCGACCTATTCAGATTGATCTGGGCGATGGTACTTATCTTGGTTGTGCGATCTCGGCCACTCTACTCCGATCAGCCGTTACCCTTTGAGGTTTGGGACTCAAACTAGAGCCCCTCTTCGGTGGACAGGGGGGGCACTCTTCTGAGCCAGCCCTGTGATCATACCTTTGTCCGCGCTCCTTACAAATGGGGCAGCTAGGCGGGTTGCCGCACTCCCTGGCTATGTGTCCCTCGGTGCCGCAGTTAAAGCAGCACAGGGATCGATCAACCTCGCTCGGACATCTCTCCCTGACGTGCCCCGCAGCCATGCACTTAAAGCATTGAGTGGGGCGTTTCTTTAGAAGGTCCACTCGAGCCGTGGACCATCCTACCCTCAATCTTCCCTCTTTGGCCAAGCGCAACGCCGCGCCAAGTGGGCACTGAGTCCAAACCGTTCGGAGCCCATTCCTCGTAGATCTCGACTGTCCCATACGGATATCCTCTTCCGTGCACTCAGCCGCCCTCGCCATTGCAGTCTTGAGTTCGCGCGGGCCGATCGAAGCGTCCAGCCCTGACAGGCGGAGCTCACCTCGGATTGAGGGTCTCGCTATCCTAACTCCCGAGTCCCTGAATGTCTCCCTCAGCTTGGCAGCCAGGGAGTCCGCCTTTGGGGACATGTCTCTTCCAGGGATTTCGACCAGCACCGCACCGGACATGGTAGCCCTCAGCCTTGTATGCTCGATGCCCAGCTCTTCAAGATTCACACTTTCTCGAGCCCTCTTCACGACATCCGCGAACTTCATGCCTTCTGGGAAGGACATGGTCACCGCGGACGACAGCGGCGCACGCCTGCGGTC